ATGTATTACCTATTTGCAATCTATTTGATTGCTATTTTGGCTAACAATGTCTATATGGATGATCAAGGTCAAATCCCAAACATATCACATACGGTACAAAGAAAATTAAATTACTAAAATTTAAAATTATAATAATTTTTATTTTTCTAAATATACAGGGTCTCCATATACTAAGTAGTATATACGCTGCACGCAATTCGACCTACAAATTAAACGTGCATAGTAACATTGCTGAAACCGATTTGAAAAACAATATCACCACGATCATTGAGATGTTTATGGAGACTACGAAAGACTTTGAAAATCACGAATGTCTGAAATTAAAGGAAAGTGAAATGGGCAGGATCACCAGTAACAATTGTTACGCTGTAATATGCGATCAGATTATCCGGTATTATGGTTATGATTACCAGGTAGTGGTGGGTGAACGTGCGTATTTAGCAGCAGGGTTTTATTCGCAATATTCACAAGTGTTTGAGTTTTACCTTGGTCCACTTTATTTTAACGTGTATCGTAATACTAAAGCATAAGGATTAAGGTCATTTAATTAAATAAGTATAAATAGTTAAGCTTGTTTAATTATTATAAAGCAAATTAATTTCATGATTATTATTATTAAAAATTTAAGATTTACGTCAAAATTATTTTTACATTGTTACAGTTTATAATACTTTTTATGATATAATTTAATACGTAAATTTATATAATAAAATATTTAATTTATGTTTATTTTTGTTACGTTATAAAACCATTTACTATAATCAATAAGTTAAAATATTGCATAGTATTGTAATATACAAGTTCAATTAACAAACAAATAGTTGATGATATTAATCCTATTATTAGCATTGGAATATCATTGCAATACACATCATCAAGGTTTATTTTACAATTATCATTTGCCGCATTATGAAATGTAGTATTTGTATCATGGTTAGAAAATCTATTTTGATAGGCCACGTATAAACGTGTTAGTATATTATCAATGCCATTGTGATGTAAATCCAGTCCCGACTCCAATACACGTCCAAACCTAATTATTAGCTAAAAGTTACTAGATTATACTTTGATAATAAATGATAATAATATTGCATGATCAACTTACGCAAATATTAGTGGTCTAGTATAGGGAAATCCTTTCCCGATCATTAATACTTCTAACCTATACAGGTAACTATGCCCCGATATCATAAACCTACCACGCTCACTTTCGTATAAATCATAGAATTTTTTAGCAGATAATGAAAGCAACATGGCCACAATCTTATTATTAATTATGGGATTTATTAACTGTTCATATGGTAGAGATTTTAAACGTTTTATTAGCATTTGTTGATTTTGTTTATCGATATATTTTTTGTTATATAAGAGATTTATAGTATATATAGATGAATAAATAGGTAGTGATTTATATTGAACTAAGTCATCCAATGTCTCAATCAATGGCACAGAACTGACCTTAAAATAGATTTTCAATAATAACGATGAAAATGATTTTGTTATAATTAATGCACTTATTATCCAAATAATTATTATTAATTGGCTACTGTATTTACCATGTTTGTAATTTATAATTTTTAATGAACCTTGATTACTATACGATCTAATAATATCCATAATAATTATGTTTAAATTCAATTTAACTGATTTATAAAATAAAATAATCAACAATATTAAAGTAACTACAGGGTAGCCTTTAATTAACGATACCATTTTGATTCTCGTTTATTTGAACACCCTGTATTACATTTAATTGATTCCTTCACCAAATTATAGAGGAATAGTTAGGGTTTTGTTTGATATATAACATGCCCAGAATATTCTT